ATCTTAGTGGTTTTAATTTTTTTTTTTTTTAAAAAAAACTTATGCATTATGTATGTGGATTACTCCCTGAAGTTTCAGTTATCTTTTGAGCATCATCTGAACATGAAATTTGGTATAGGCAAACAGGGGACTTGGACTCACTGCTCATATTATTGACCACTGCAAGCTAATTCTCAAGTTCCCAGAAGGCACAAATAGTACCTGGGTCTCTCTCTCTCTCTCTCTTTGTGGTGTGTGTGTGTGTGTTCACCCATTTTCTTTGTTGCTGATTTGTTTATGCTTTGTATGGGCAGTATAATGAGCAGTTCAAGATTTATGAGCCATTGGAATACCCATATGATGTGTGTGAGGCCATACTATTGTGGGAACAGGTTGGTATTAGCCATCTTCAATTTGTGCAATCTCTTAAAGACTATACATGTCCATTCTAATGTGCGTTGAGCAATGCAGTATCGCAACATGACTACTGTCTTGACGAGAGAGTATTTGGATGCAAGGCCTGATGGGTGGTTTGATTATGCTGCAAAGCGGATAGCACAATTGTAGGGTTTCTCTTATCTTATTCCTTCGAGTTAATTTCTTCTGGTGGTTTTCTTTGAACTAGTGACGGCAACTGTTTTGGTGGAGTGAAATCTATTTGTCTTTGTGTAGGGGAGCAGATAAATGTTACAATAGATCTCTTTGTGAGGAACACCTAAATTTGATCCTGCCATCCAAACCTCCTTTTCACCCCCGGCAGTTCAAAACCTGTGCAGTTGTGGGAAACTCTGGAGATCTTCTAAAGACGGAGTTTGGTGAAGAAATCGACAGTCATGATGCTGTTATTCGTGATAATGAGGCACCTGTAAATGAAGTAAGCTAGCTAGCTGCTCTAGTCAATTCTTTCAATACTTACTGCAAGAGTCTTTTCATTGTTTATTGATTTATTAAACGGCTTGTTCAAGTTAGCTAGAGTCTTTTAGTTGGTAGTTTGTTCTGTAATTAGTAATTGAATAACTCTTGCAAATGACCAGATCCCATGTTGGTTGGAGAGGAGAATGAAATATTCCTTATAAGATTGTAGAAACCTCTCCTAGTAGACGCGTTTTAAAACCTTGAGGGAAACCTAGAAGGGAAAGCCCGAAGAGGACAATATCTAATAGCGGTGGGCTTGAGCTGTTACAAATGGTATCAAAGTCAAACACTGGCGGGGTGCCAGCATCCTCGCTGGTCCTCAAGGGGAGTGGATTGTGAGATCCCACATTGGTTGGAGAGGAGAATGAAGCATTCCTTATAAGGGTGTGGAAACCTCTCCCTAGTAGACACATTTTAAAAACCTTGAGAGGAAATCCAGAAGGGAAAACCAAAGCGGACAATATCTACTAGTGGTGGGCTTGGACTGTTACAATTTGTGCCTTGTGCATTTGTGCTGTTTCCCTTTCCATTTTCCCTTGTTGCCCCAACCTGTCCATGTATCACTAGAAACCATACTCATCAAGACTTCAATGAAAGGACCAACATGTATTTGTTCAGAAATATTAAGTTGTGAATATGTAGATTATAATGCTTTTACATGTAAGAAGATTTGTGCACACAATTTTGGACTTTTGCCATCTTCATTCAAATTGTGGGATTCGAACATTTACATTCCATAAATTATTTAAACGCCAGAAAAATGGTGAAATAGACACTTACTTTGTAACAAAGACGTCAAACGATGAATGTTTATAAAGAAATTCGAGAATTATATATGGGAGTATGTTTACTTTATATATCATTAGTTTTCTCTAGTATTTCTGGAGTTTAAGAGGAATAATATGGCTGATTTTTATGTCTTAGTTTTTAAGTCTAAGAATATTGGTTGTGTAGCAAACAGCACAAACTATTCATTGTGTTCTGGCTAGGCTTGTTAATGAAGTACGACACCGCTAGAAGCCTAAGAATACTATCAAAAGTAGAATATCGAAAGTATTACACTTGAATCTGAATCCTCGTGGCCTGTAACATCTTCCAGGGTTTCTGATCTTTGAACATTACGTACTTGATTCTGCACATTTTGTGACATTGATTTCTTCTCCTTCTATGATTAAGTTCTCCGGAAGATATTTAGATACTCATGTTGATCCCTATGACCCCCTGTAGAAATATGCCAAATATGTTGGTCTGAAGAGGGATTTTCGTCTTGTTGTAAGAGGTGCTGCTCGCAATATGATTAAAATTCTAAATGGGTCTGGTACGTTAATCTTATTTCTGTTGTTAAATATTATCACTCGGACTCTGGATTAAATGTCAGGTCTGATGATCTCTTGTCTTTCTTCAGATGATGAGGTACTTATTATCAAGAGCGTGATTCACAGAGACTTTAATGCAAGGATCAAGGTAAAAGCTAATTCATATTCTTATGTGGTAAATTCTCTTATTACTGTAAGGTAGTGCTGACGGGAGAGGAAAGGAAAAAAATGGAATGAGGTTAGGGGATTGTAATAGTCCAAGCCCACACCTAGCGGATATTGTCCTTTTTTAGCTTTCTCCTTCGAGCTTTCCCTCAAGGTTTTAATAAAATGCGTCTCCTTAGGTTCCACGTCCTTACAAAGAATGCTTCGTTCCCCTCTCCAACCGATGTGGGATCACACAATCCACCCTCATTCGAGGCCTAGTGTCCTCGATGACACTCGTTCCTCTCTCCAATCAATGTGGGACCCCCTACTCCATCCCCTTTGGGGCCCGACGTCCTCGCTGGCACACCACATGGTGTCCACCCTCCTTCAGGGCTTAGCCTCCTCGCTGGCACGCCATTCGATGTTTGGCTCTGATACCATTTGTAATAGTCCAAGCCCACCGTGAGTAGATATCTCTTTGGGCTTTCCGTTCTGGGCTTTCTCTTAAGGTTTTAGAACGCGTCTGCTAGAGAGAGGTTTCCACACCTTTATAAAAATTGCTTTATTCCCCTCTCCAACCGATGTGGGATCTCACAGAAATGATCTAGTTTTGAAAATTTTTATGGAAAGGGAACGGCTTTGTATCCACAGTTGTTTTGTTTTCTGATGCTTTGGAAACTTATTACCTTTTGTAAATGATTTGTATGTTATATATTGCAGCTTATTCCAAATCCAGTTTATCTCTTCCAAGGTATTGTTCTACGTAGAGGTGCAAAGGGAACTGGAATGAAATCTATTGAATTAGCTCTCTCTATGTGTGATATTGTTGACATATATGGTTTCACGGTTGATCCTGGCTACACTGAATGGTAAGTTTAACTCGCTTGCAGGTTGATTCATGTTTTGTTTCTTGCCACTAACAAGTTGAAATTTTCTCTGTTCCAGGACAAGGTACTTCTCAACGCCCAGAAAAGGCCATAACCCGCTTCAAGGAAGGGCATACTACCAGCTATTAGAGTGCCTCGGCGTAAGTTTTTCAACCCCGCCCCCCACACACGCACACGAAAAAAAAAAAAAATGGTGAGATCCATGCCTTGCCTTGATAACTCATGTGGCTTAGGGCTTCCTCAGGTTATAAGGATTCACTCTCCGATGAGATCGAAGAGGAAGCAAGACTGGTCTGATGTTCCCGATCGAGAAACAATTAGGAGGGCTCATGCTGCAGCCTTGAGCTTAAAGAGGCGTCAATCCGGGCAAGGGGGCGATTTGGGACAGTTTGGTAGCTGTAAAGTGTGGGGCAATGTGGAGCCTGGAATGGAAGGTCCTATCTCAGGATCCCCTGATATGAGTGATACCAGGAAAAAATCAAGTTTCAGTAAGTGGGAACTTACACCTTTTAACAGTTTGAGAAGAGAATCACAAGATCATTTCAAGCAGATGGAAGGGGTCTCCCTCTACAAAATGGACGGTAATAAGTTGGACGATCTCGTATGTGTTAGACATTCTTTAGATTCCGTCGCATGAACAACGCTCTCGACGATATGCTATTTGCCAATACCTTCTCCCCAATTAGGACTCGCCCATTCCACATATCGACGATATCCTGGTTGTTTAGAGGATCCCTTCCTTCAGCTCTGGCTGATGGCTAGGCACAAGCAGTAGAGGCAACTTAGAAATATCAGTCTTTTCTGCGAGATCGGTCGAGATGTCGTGTGCTATCTTTTATGCCTGACTTAGAACTCGGAGCTACCAAGTATACGGTATGGCTTTTAGTTCGAGTCAATTTATTCATCTGCTTTGTTTCTAAATAGATTGTAAAGCTTGTATTTTAGCCTCTGAAAGATTAGTGTATCATTATTTATTCTTGCGATTATTTGTAAAGACTGAAGGTGAAAACATGTCCATTAAGTAACGTAGAGGAAATACGTAGAGGGAATGAAGCATTTCTTATAAAGGTGTGGAAACTTCTCTTTTAAAATCGTGAGGTTAATGGTAATATATAATGGGCCAAAGTGGACAATATATGCTAGCGGTGGGCTTGAGTTGTTATAAATGGTATCAGAGCTAGACATTAGATGTTGGGCGAGCGAAGATGCTGGCCCTCAAGGGAAGTGGATTGTGAGATCTCACTTTAGTTAAAGACAGAAACGAAGCATTATTTATAAGGGTGGAAACCTTTCCCCAACTAAAGGTGGAAACCTCTCCCCTCCCCAACAAATGTGTTTTAAAATCGTGAGGCTAATGATGATACGTAACGGGCCAAAGCGGACAATACCTACTAACAGTAATCTTGAGCTGTTACAACAAATGAGTTGAAGAGTATCATACCATTATGTAAATATGAAGAAGTATGTTGTCTTCCTAGCTAGAGAACTTGATACTAGAACAAGTCTTCAATCTAATCCCGAGACGATGAACGGTTTATGTATAATTTAGATATAATGAGAAATATCGTGGGGAGATTCACAAATATCTCCAAGATGATGGGAAAGTGTGAAAGCTTCCTCTAAATGAATAAATATCAAACAAAGAGGATCAAAGGAATCTTATCCAAAGAAACAGCCTCCAATCTCTGACATTTCAACACGTCCACTGTTCTTTATAAAAGGCTAATGAGTAAGAGGCTTCTACTCATTCAAATCTCAAGCTTTAACATATCATATCATAATGCAAGCTGTTCTTAGCATTGTTGTTCCTCCCCTTCTCCCCTCCTTAACACCTTCCAACAACCTTTCTCATTTTCCCTCTTCTTCTCCCTCGATCCGCTCTCACTCTTCCTCGCGCCGTTCGACAATCAAAGCAGTTACCGCTGTCGCTTACGATACCTCGGTGGTCGATTACAGTTCTGTAATCTCGTAAGTCATTTTCTCTCATAGGTTTCATCGATATAGTTAAGTGTTCATGGTGTAAACACTAAATTTATGTTATTAATAATAGTTTTAAGATCGAAACTTTGTAGTATTACTTCGGCCATAAGCTCGTGTGGTTTTCAAGTTCTGACGATTATGATCAAGAGAATTAAACCGTCAAATTAAAATGATAATCGATGTCTTATTTAATAAACTATGCTTGAATTGACCCGTATGCTCGAGTTCGAGTTAGGGTATAATAAACTATGCTCGAATTGACTCGTATGCTCAGGCTCGAGACAGGGTGTAACAAACTATACTCGAATTGACTCTTATGCTCGGGTTCGAGACATGGTGTAACAAACTATACTCAAATTGACCCATATGCTCGAGTTCGAGTTAGGGTGTAATAAACTATGCTCGAATTGACTCGTATGCTCGAGTTCAAGTTAGGTTATAATAAATTATGCTCGAATTGACCTGTATACTCGGGTTCGAGACAGGGTGTTTCCTGCAGAAGCATGTGAGACCATTGGTGGAGAAGCTTGCTGGGCCAACATTTTCCCAGAAGTGAGGCTTCAGGCTTCTGCAGATAGCGATGAAGCAGCCGCAGTTGCCTTGGAAGAGATTGATAGAGAGTATCTTGATTATGCTGCCCAGTCTAAGACGTGAGATAATTTATTTTCTTTAATTTCCTTCTATTTTTAATCCCTTTTAATAAATTCTTTTTAATATTATAAATTCACTCCAAAATTTTAATTTTAGTTTATATTTAGATTTTTTTTTATTTCCTTAAATTTTGAAATTTTTTAATAATATATTTAAAAAATAACTTCAAAAATATTCTTAAAAACTCTATAAAAAAAAATTATAAAAGTTAAAAATATTCTTAAGAAATTTCAAAAGTATTAATAAGTTTAAAACTTATTTAATTTAAAACCATATATTACTAACGGTTCTGACTATATACCAATAATAAAAGTTTTTTTTTAATTTTTTAGTTATTAATAAAAATTTAAAAGTTCGAAAAAATTTTTTAAACAAAATATTAATAATTTTCGTCCGTATATTAGAATTACTTTATTTAAAATTAAAAAATATTATGGAATCTTTTAAAAATATAAAGAGATAATTTTTAAATAAAATGTAAAGTTTTAAGAATAATTTTATTAATTTAACCTTATATATATATATATTTGGAGATTTCTCCAGAAGATGCATGTTTAACACTCTCAAAACACTTGAAAATCTGTGCCCTGCCTTGGAGTTTGGAGTAATTATTATTATTATTATTTATTCATATTATTATTATTATTATTATTTATTCATATTATTATTATTATTATTTATTCATATTATTATTATTATTATTATTATTTATTCATATTATTATTATTATTATTATTTATTCATATTATTATTATTATTATTTATTCATATTATTATTATTATTACTATTTATTCATATTATTATTATTATTACTATTTATTCATATTATTATTATTATTACTATTTATTCATATTATTATTCATATTATTATTATTTATTCATATTATTATTATTATTATTATTATTTATTCATATTATTATTATTATTATTATTATTTATTAATATTATTATTATTATTATTATTATTTATTCATATTATTATTATTATTTATTAATATTATTATTATTATGTGCAGAGTTTTTCCAGGGGAGGCTTGCGATGATCTTGGTGGAGAATTTTGTGGAGCCGAGTTTCTAAATGGCGTTTTCTAAATCCCCCCGCTTATGCTCTTTAGTGTATTGTATATATAGGGCTTTTAGCTAGGCCATATCACAAATTGTATAACCGCTTTTTAGAATTCTCGACCCTTAAGTATTTACTCTAATCCTTCTATTTTCTATAACGGTATGATTTTAGTACGTTGGGTTAAGTCATATCATAGGTTCTCCAACCCACGTCTTAGAACTCTCGATACTTTAAACATTTATCCCTTTTGTTTTCTATATTCAACTATTCTTGTGGGACAACGGTTTAATTCTACTACATTTGGTTGGGTCATATCACGAGAGATCAGTAACCCACTTTTTAGAATTCTCGATCCCTACATATTTATCCCTTTCGGTTTCTATATTCAACTATTCTCATGGGACAACAATTTGATTCTACTACATTTGGTTGGATCATATCACAGGTTCCGTAACCCACTTTTCAGAACTCTCGATGCTTAAATATTTATCCCTTATGGGACAACGGTTTCATTCTACTACATTTAGTTGAGTCATATCACAAGTTCGGTTACCCACTTTTTAGGATTCTCACCCCTTAAATATTTATCCCTTCCATTTTATTCTCGCCCCGGACAACAGTTTGATTCTACTACATTCAGTTGGATCATATCACATGTTCGGTAACTTGCTTTTTAGAATTCTCGGGCCTTAAATATTTATCCTTTTTGTTTTCTATATTCAACTATTCTCATGGGACAACGGTTTGATAGACTACTTCTCTTTAGGATATATCACAAGTTCTATATTCCACTTTTCAGAATTCTCGATGCTTATATATTTACTCTCTTCTATGATCACCTAATCTCACTCGACATCAGTTCGATCTCTACTACATTTGGTTCTCAAAATAACTCGAGGAGACTATCGGGAAGGCTGTGGAATTTATGATGAGGATCTTAGGCCAGTTGATAGGAGACTGATAAAGGCATTGGCAGAAGGAAACTACATTTCAGAAGAAAATCTTATTGCAAAAAGAACTCAACCAAATGAAGTGAAACAAACACTTGAGGTTGATCTTGCAGTATGTTCTGAAAACTAGATTGGTAAGAAAAAGAACTAAAACCATAAGAGATATTAGGCGACCTACTTGTCGATGATGCTCACGAGCACGCCTTCGAGAATAAGACGGAGCTGAATGTCGTCGGATTTACAGAGTTCGTCGATGAATTGTTCCATCCATCAATGAAGGGCTGCATTTGATAACAGCTTCAGCTACATAACACCATGTAAGCCAGCTGATTCCAACAGCACTGCTTTTATTTGCTCAGGTATGATCTCCTGACCTTCCTTGGATTGCTGGAAGAAATCAAACAGCCAAAAAGACAGCAAAATGGTTAGTGCCAACAAAACTTGTTGAACGATATTAGATCGTAAACGTCGATTCGGGAAAACGAAAAGGAAATGAGTGCGAACCTCAGCTCGAAACACGTCCAAAGCAAATCCATTGAAACAGCTGATTACAGCTTGTTGGATATCCAAGCCGAGGCTATCCAGAGCCCTCATGGTGGATAGCAAGAGACCGGGCTTGCAAGAACAGAACATGTGAATATTGACAGCTCTGCCTTCTCTGACCCGGACTTCGACCTGTTTAAGCACGTTACCAATCAGGATTTGAAGCACATTTTCATCGAATATGGCACATAAGCACACTATTAAACGAACACGACTCTCCACAATGGTACGATATTGTCCACTTTGAGCATAAGCTCTCATAGCTTTGCTTTGGGCTTCCCTGAAATGTCTTATCCCAGTGGAGAAAGTATTCTTTGATTATAAACCAATGAAGATTCTCTAAATTAACCGAGGTGGGACTTTCATCATCCGAACACACAAGAAAATGCAACGAAATCCCAGAAATGTTCGAGAATGAAACCAAAGATTCACAGAAACTATGCTTGAGTTTTCATATCTGATAACCGTTATCTCGTCGAACCGACTTCTATCAACAAAAGTAAGATCGATAAAAAAAAACGTATGAACGCCATCAATATCATTAGAACCAACAACAATTATAAGGTTTGTCCAACAAATCTACTTAATTTTATCATATTTTTGGCAGCCTACAACAATAAGATGAAGCTGACTGTCATTCACATGATATTGCTAGTATAAAAACTACAGACCATGCACAATTAAGCACATGTTTCGTATGCTGTAACAGCACCACTAGCAGATATTTTTCTTTTTGAGTTTTCCCTTTCGAACTTTCCCTCAAGGTTTTTAAAACGCATTTGTTAAGAGAAGTTTCCACATCTTAATAACGAATGTTTCATTTCCCTCTCCAACCGATGTGGGATTTCACAATCCACCCCCTTCGGAGTCCAGCGTTCTCGATGGCACCCATTCCTCGATGAATATCATAATGAGGGTGGATTGTGAGATCCCACATCAGTTAGAGAGGGGAACGAAACACTCGGGCAGTGTGCCAGCAAGGACGCTGGCCCCCAAGTGAGGTGGATTGTGATATCCCACATCGGTTGGAGAGGATAACAAAGAATTCCTTATAAGGATTTGGAAACCTCTTCCTAGCAGACGCGTTTTAAAACAGTGACACCAACGACAATACATAACAGACCAAAGCGGACAATATATGTTAGCGGTGGGCTTGGGCGGTTACAGTAGCATTACCCATGTTACTTCATCCATGAGCACGTCCAATACAAGTAACAAACAGATCATTGGGACTCATTATGTGATGAACGGTTCAATTGAAACAACCCGAAATTCGCAAATCCACTCATTATCATTACTAAAGTAAGGAGGAGCATTGTAAGCATTTGGCTCTTGAGAACCAAAAATCTCAGAGTTCATGCTAGATAGACACTTGTGGAGGAAGTTCAAGGCCAAACAAAACGAAAAAGAATTCTAGCTGCATGAATAAAAAGCACAAAAGTACAACCAAATACAAAAAGAAACGCAGAAAAGGATAAAGTTGGTTGAAAAGTTACCCTGGCAGGCTGATTTTTGGGGCTGCACAAGGAGGAGCTTGGACACAGCTCCTCCTTGACACGACAGGGAAGAGTTGGCAGCGTTGGCGTCAAAGGGTGAAAGCTTGCAGAAGGTTGCAGCGAAGAACCAGAAGGAGTCGATTCAAGTTCATTATGGAGATCATTTATCCTTTGAAGAAGCTCCTTCAAGTAGTCTATGGCGTCTCCAAGGATTGAAGCTCTATCCATCTGTGAACACAAGAAAAGGGAAATATAGATTTATTGCTCAATTCATCAAGAAAGACCAGTGGTTCAAGATCTCTCCGCCATGGAATCGAGAGGAAAAGCTTGAATTCTTACCTTGCTTATTTTGGGTACGACGGACCTAAGCATGTAAAGTCTATCATTCAGCTTCTTTCTCCGCCGTCGCTCCGCCATGAGATTCTTCGCCGGCATCCCCTTCTTCTTCCCTTTTTGGTCGCCGCCGGTTACAGTGCTGTTGGCATTGGAATTGCTTCCGCAGTTTTTAGCATTAACATTGTCCTCTTGCTTGTTATACTCATTGCCTTCATCGGAGTCGTAATTAAACCGAGAAACATCCACGCTATCATCCTCACCGTCCTCATCGCCGTTGTTCTTACTCAGATTCTCCAAATCCGCCGTCCACGTTGAGCCTTCTCCAAATTTCAAACCCGAAACCTCCAGATTCTCAAGTTTATCAGCTCCGGGAGAGACAACTCGGTGCGCCGCTCGCTTCTGAAACAGCGTCGGTTGAGCACCGACTTGCGGGAGCACTTCAAGAGGTCTCAAAACCTTAGGCCTATTCTGAAACAGAGCATTCCCGCAGCCATCGAAGCTCTCAAACGGAACCGCCGGATTAAATCCATCGCCAAAAGCGGGAGGGTTATCAGCAACCGGAAACTCAGAATGATTTAAGCTAAGCGCCTGGTTACCGATTTGAGGAAGAGGAGAAACGCCAGTGAATCCCATGAAAACGGAGGGATTGGAAGCTTGATTCCCCTGGTAAGATCCAAACAAAGCAGTATCGGCGCCAAAATCATAGGCATTATCGAAATTACTGCCGCAAACAACATTAAGAAGAGAAGAGAAACAGGATTTGTGAGAAGGCAACATAGACTGGGTAGGATCGAGAGCAAAAGGTTGGGAGGGAGAGCAGGAAGAGAGGAAGTTATCAGTGGGATTGAAACGATGGAGAGAGGAGTTGAGAGGAGCAGAAGAAGAGTTAATGAAACAGTCAGGTTCGAGCATGGATTTGAAGGAAGAAATGGAGCCGGCAATGGCGATATCGTCGTAGTGGTCGTCGGTGGCTCTGGTCCAAGAAGCGACGTCGTCATGGTCGCCGTCGAGCCAGAGGATTCCGGTGGATTTGGGAAGCATCTGGGCGGAGAGAGTTGCAGAGAGAGAGAGAGAGAGAGAGAGAGAAGGAAGGAAGCAGTTACAGAGAGGGAAAAAGGGAAATGGGTTTTGGGGAGAAGAAAATGAACAGAAATATATTCCCAAGTTTGAACGTTACGTATCAGAGAAAAGGAGAAGACCGCCAATGTGCGGTCTCTCTCTCCCTCGCCGTTTCGTTGTCTGTTCCGTTTTAAGATTAGATTTCTTTTTTTTTTTTTTTTTTAATTTCAATTTTATATGTAAAATCGGATTTTATATTTATAATTTTTTTAACTAATTTATTTATAAATTGCAAAATAAAATTTTACCATTGGAAACAATATTTCTTGATTATAAACCTAGATCATTCCCTAAATTAGCTGATGTGGGACTTTCATCTAACACCTCCCCTCGAACAAAATACGTGTCCTCTTAATTGAGGCTCGACTCCTTTTCTTTTGAAGTTTTAGTCCTTTTTTTACTATGTCTTAGACGAGTCTTGACTCGTTTTTCTTTTGGAGTCATTTGTTCGAGGATTCTATTGACATAGCTAAATTTAGGACATGACTCTGTTAGGAATCACTACTCTATGATATTGTCCACTTTAGCATAAATTGTCGTGACTTTGCTTTGGGGTTCCCCAAAAGGTTTGACACTTTAGAGATTATCTTCAAATTTTTTTATGTTATTTTTAAAATTTTATGAGTATTTTTTAACCCCGATATTTTTAGTTTTTTTTTTTTTAAATTAAAGTTGTTTTAGACATTTTTTAAAAAGTTTTAAAATATTTTTTTAAGTTTTTAAAAAAATTTAAGAGTATTAATGATTTAAGTTGAAAGGTATTTTTGAGATAGTATCCTCTAAAATTAAAGGTATTTTAATTTTAATTCTTTTTAAAAAAAGTATTTAATTTTTTTTTTTTAAAGTAAAATATTATTAAAACTTTAAAAAATTTAAGGGTATTTTTTAAACATGCTAAATTCAAATGTAATCATTATCTTAGTAAAAAAATTAATTAAAAGTTCTTACCGAAAACAATCCATTCACACTTCACAAATTATCTACAAATGTTTTAATGTTACTTTAAAAAATTTATGAGTATTTTTTAAACATAGTACTAATCGAAAAATATTTTTGAAGATGTATAAAAAAGTTTTAAGATATTTTTGACAAATTAATTGTATTTTTTAACCATTTTGAAAATTAAAATGTTATCTTTTTTTAACCATTTAAAAAATTAAGAATATCTTTAGAGGTTTTTTTTTTTTTTTTTTTTTTTTTTTTTTTTTTTTTTTTTTTTTTTTTAAGTTTAATT